AGCTACCATTAAAACCAAGAGTAAAATAACACTACTGCTGCTAAAACTAATGAAAGAAAAAGGAGAGTGATACGTGTAGCCTAGAGTCTATAGTTGGGAGAGTGTTGCGAGGACGTATGACGGTATGGGTATTGGCAAGAGTAGTTTATGTACTCTTGGTATTGGTCCTCATGGCTTTAGCCGATTTTTGCCAAAAACCTGAGATTTCCCGACATCATCCACTATCAAACTCGTTATGCCGCTCAAACCTCACAGTCATAATGCTCGTCGTGTTCCTTTCTAATGCTCCACAATGCTCTGATAGTCTCATTAGTCTCATACTGCCGAATATACCGGTACATGTACAAGTAATGCCGACATTATCCGCTGGACCCTTGCAGTGAGTTGTCAAATGCCATTTGCCACTCCTCTCCCTGACTAGAAGACATTCACCAGCGAGCACACAATCAAGCACAGGGGCAAACTTCGATCCTGTACTACAAGGTCTTCGACTTTAGAAATTAACCAGTTAACCATCCAGGAAAAATACTCAAATTTAAAACCTTGCAAAATTTTAGATGGAAAATTGAGAAATGACCTATCCAAAGCTAATTCTGAAAAGGCAAGAGGGCTGTGTATTTGTATTACGCCTCAGTGGTTAACAACCAACTTAACCAACTACCCGCAAAAAGAGAAAAGACTACGGAACCATAATTGTCAGCACTGTACGGTCCAAAGATGGTTGAACCAGGCAAGAATAGTGCGAGCGGCAAAAACTGGATAATAAGCACAATGAGAAGAGAGAAAGGTATACAAAGGCTAAAGAAGCCGTGAATACGGATGAAGCTGTTTACAAGCAAGTGTTGTTAAACAGAGCCGCTGCGGAGACACTATCAAGGCGGACAAAAAGCAGCTGTATTCAGAAATGGCGCAAGTACGCGGGATGGTATTCTCTAGTGTTACTTCATCGAGCGAACAGGCAATGATGCTATCACCAGCCAAGAGCTGCAATACGTCTGCAGGTCAAGAGAGCCCAGACAGGAAGGTCCTGCAATGTTTTAAATTTTTTAAGTATATTGCTGGACCCAGCACGCGCATGAAAAGCGCTGAAAATGCATTTTGGATTTTCAATCAGGTTCTTGTTTCCATAATTATGCACACGGCCTACAAGTCGCCAACCCTACCCACAAGCGTAGGTGTCCAGGTATAATAATATGGGTCAGTAATCATGAACACAGTTGTGAAGATGCAACTACACAACATACCCGCTAACAGGCAGTTGCTGGTAGGCGAACAACTGCCGGCTCAGGCAAGCATGGCAGCTACAATGCAGAACAGCAAAGCAAGGGCGGAGAAAGTAGCGCTGCCGGCGGACGAAGCTGCAAAGGAGGGCAGAACAGAAGACAGAGAGGACGAAATGTTACCGATAATTCAGGACACGCTGTGGAAGGTTGTCGATACTATCGGTGTTCGAAAATAGCGCATTTTTTACTATTGAACACTCACTGCATGATGAACTAAAATGAGGAGGAGAACTCGACACAATGCAATGATCTGCAACAATGCACCTCTATGATCCACGAGTACCGCAGTCATTGTAAAGTAAGACAAACGTCCACTCTCTTGGCAGTACCACTTTAGGCTCAACTAGAGGATTCCGGGGAGCCTGTGAAACCATGTCTGGTTTCTGAGCCGCCTAAAGCATGAGAGCACCACAAGCAATTATTATCTTTTGTGATTTTTCATTGTTTTTAAAAGAATTCTCCAAAGGCTTTCGCCTATCGAGGGGGTTTCCAAACTTTCCATAATCCCAAATCTGTAAAAGAAGTGATGAGCAATATGTGAGCAAAGAAAAAGATAAAGACATAGTCTAGGGCAGAGCTCTGCGCTTGAACATACATGTACATGTACATGTATCATTGTAAGGTAAAGTTATGAAACCTAGGGAAATGTGTAAAGCTGTCTTCAAGGTCAACATCAGGCAGTCAAAAACAAACAATTGTGACTATTCTCATATATATATATATATATATATTTACACACAACAACAAGGTTGTCAGTTTCATAATACTAAAAGCTTTTCACCCATTTTCATCAGTAGATACATGGGAATGAGCAAGAACGAAAACGAAGCCAGAATTTATACTGGGGGTAGAGAATCAGCAAGAATATTCTTACGCGCCTCAAGTTCACACTACACTACCATAAGAAGAATGTATGGAGCGGTGGAAAAATGCGGGAAACAACACATGAAGGGAATGCAGTACCACAACAAACACGTGATAAAGTTGTCAGTCCGGTTGCAGCTTGAACAGCCGCAGCACCTTGATGTGCTTCTTTTGTCGACACAGCTCTGGCCTCAAACTGCGAATGTACAGCGCCTCCAGTGTGAATCTGTGCGCGCTGTTCCGGGCTGGTGTGATGACACTGAAGCTGCCGTTGCGTTCTTGCGGGATGCATTCAGGTTGCGCCTGCAAATGCTTTGTGATGGCGCTATCACTTGTTGCCACACGTTTGTCAGGCGGCTTCTTGTACAGCTTGTCTGGGATATGCTGCTTGATCCTTTCCGAGAATCGCTGACATGTCTCACCAACGTACGTTCGCTCACAGCGACACGCATACTTATAAATAAAATTACTATTTTCAAGAGTTGGTGAAACATCCTTCGCGATAGACCTGAATGCGGGCCTGGTTGTATAAATTACAATGGGGGTACTGCATTCCCTTCATGTGTTGTTTCCCGCATTTTTCCACCGCTCCATACATTCTTCTTATGGTAGTGTAGTGTGAACTTGAGGCGCGTAAGAATATTCTTGCTGATTCTCTACCCCCAGTATAAATTCTGGCTTCGTTTTTGTTCTTGCTCATTCCCATGTATCTACTGATGAAAATGGGTGAAAAGCTTTTAGTATTATGAAACTGACAACCTTGTTGTTGTGTGTATATAAATTTTGTTCGCCTAACTCTCTATATATATATATATTTCTGTATGCATAAACTGTTTTTAATTATTAGTATTAATTTAGTATTAGTATTAATTTTGTGTTAAAAAAGGAGCTGTGATCAAATGGCTGTCAAATGGCTGACCGTCCGAGTTCAATTTATTATTTGTGTTATTATTATTTTGTTATTTGTGTCGTTTGTGTCTTTCCCTCAAACCAGGGAATATTTATTTTTAAACATTTTATTGGGCTGATCCCACAGACTCAAGGTCTTCTTAAACTTCAAATACCCATCCGATCCTTGTGCCCCACCAATGCAATCATAGTGCTACCGGTGCTGTGCAATGGAACCCAGTCGAGTCACTCGGGTACGCGCCAGGCGTTGCGCAGCCATAGAAGTAAATACTACATATTGTAGTACAGGAAAGGACCAAGGAAATACAAGTTACGCTTTTTTATTTTTACATCACAAGTCAAACGGGCAATCATGCCCAATGTTATGATGACGATGGAAAGGGAGAAAAGATTAAGAACAAGATTAGTTATCCTGGATTATGGGGAGTGAAGAAAACAGTGAGTCTAGGAATCTCTCCTCAGAATGAGATCATCTTCACATTGGTCATGAAAGTAGACTTTCGCGATAGTGTCCACTATTACACCACCAGTTACTGAACAATCAGCTCATGTGATAACATTGCATTATAGCGTCATGTATTAATGTACATGTAGTTCCTTGGTCCTTTTCTTTTCTATAAATTTATCCTTGGCTCTCCATCCGAGTACTTATTGTGTTACCAAGAGTCCATAAGCCCCAGAGTGTGCAACGCCACATAAATGTCTGTCACGACTCGTTTTCAACATTACGTCATTTTCATGTAGCTGCGCGTGCAGGCCGCGACATTCGCTACATGAAAAATTTAATGTACATGAAAATGGCGTAATGTTGAAAACGAGTCGTGACAAGACCCTATCGCGCGTTGCACACTCTGGGCGTTATGGACTCTTGGTGTTACTTACTGCCTAGAGTCTGAGAAACCGGTTTGTTGATAGTCCCTGCAAACCACAAACACAAACACACACATACACGCACACACATACACACGCACACACAGACGCACACACAGTCACAGCAACACGCAGTGCCAAAATATGATGCATGCAACAATCGAGAAGGAGCTCATTTTGCAAACGTTGACTCCTTAATTTTTTGAACAAGCTTTTCGGAGACAGCAGTTAATATAACTACAAGGACGAATACATGTAGGTAGGTAGGTAGGTAGGTAGGTAGGTAGGTAGGTAGGTAGGTAGGTAGGTAGGTAGGTAGGTAGGTAGGTAGGTAGGTAGGTAGGTAGGTAGGTAGGTAGGTAGGTAGGTAGGTAGGTAGGTAGGTAGGTAGGTAGGTAGGTAGGTAGGTAGGTAGGTAGGTAGGTAGGTAGGTAGGTAGGTAGGTAGGTAGGTAGGTAGGTAGGTAGGTAGGTAGGTAGGTAGGTAGGTAGGTAGGTAGGTAGGTAGGTAGGTAGGTAGGTAGGTAGGTAGGTAGGTAGGTAGGTAGGTAGGTAGGTAGGTAGGTAGGTAGGTAGGTAGGTAGGTAGGTAGGTAGGTAGGTAGGTAGGTAGGTAGGTAGGTAGGTAGGTAGGTAGGTAGGTAGGTAGGTAGGTAGGTAGGTAGGTAGGTAGGTAGGTAGGTAGGTAGGTAGGTAGGTAGGTAGGTAGGTAGGTAGGTAGGTAGGTAGGTAGGTAGGTAGGTAGGTAGGTAGGTAGGTAGGTAGGTAGGTAGGTAGGTACAATTTTATTCGAATTCGCAGAACCAAACGGGCGGTGTCGCCCAATTACATGGAAGCGAATGGAAACAGTAAAATATTGTAGGAAATAGCCTAACATGATAGCAGGGTGTAGTACAAAGCAAAGAACGCTCAGCCAATGAATAACGTTAACGTTAGAATACAACATCGGGGAGGCGGTAAACAGCACATGACTGGTACTGTGGAGTACCGCAAACGTTCAAAGGTTCCTGTAGTGTTCAGTAGTGGGTGCTACTGCTAGTGAATAATTGCACTGTAAGCAGTTCCTAAATGTCGACATGTATGAACAAAATCAGTAAACTGTTATACGATGATCGCAAGGCACACAACGAAAGGGAAAGAGAGGATCTTTCAGAACTGTTTACATATTAATTTCATGGATATATTTTATGCAAACGGCGAGGAGACAATAATTTGATAACCGCAATCAATAAGACAAGCTGAATCGACAAACAAATGTTTGTGTAAAGGCGACGAGGAGACAATAACTTTATTAATGCGATTAAAAGTATAAGTGAAGCGGACATTACAAAATGATGAATGAGAATACATGTATCTAAAATGGTTGTTCCTAATCGATTTTCTTGAGACTATCATCACTTTAGTTTTTTTCACACCTCACCTTGTATACTTCCCACTATCCGATTACCTATAAGTAGTTTGTTTCTCCGTAGAGCCTCTATTGTGAGACGATTTTCCCTGATGATAGTCTCAAGAAAATCGATTAGGAACAACCATTTTAGATACATGTATTCTCATTCATCATTTTTGTAATGTCCGCTTCGCTTATACTTTTAATCGCATTAATAAATGTTTGTGTGTACGTTATTCTATTTCCATCGTTTTATTGCACATTGTCTCCACCGTTTTAGATTGCATGAATAAAGTATACACATTATTATGTCGATTCAGCTTGTCTTATTGATTGCGGTTATCAGATATATTTTATGGATAAACGAAGGAATGACCAACATAATGTTACGAGTTATGACCAACTGGCCACCAACTTAAATAGATCATTATTATAGTCAACAATTTTTTTGTATGCCTCGATCTATTTCCTTAGCCTATCCTCGATTAACTGCTCCCTCTACATAAAGTTGTCATTTCATTCTTCTTGCAGGAGATCCCCTCGACAGGCCCAAAGCCTTTGGGAAATCCTAAAAATATAATAAAAATGCAGTCAACAATTCTCAGTGCTCCATGTCCGTGTTGTGCCTTCTTGCAGCACATACTGACCGTATCTTATGATCTCGTTAACCCTTTTACCGCTACAGGGTGTGCCATTCAGCCACTGCACAACAAAAAGCTAAAAGTACGAGTACAATGCAAATCATCCCGGGCTAACTCCAGAACTTTATGGTCCTGGCAACTGGGCTTTTGAACTTTTGGGGAATGGAGGCCAAGACTACTACCGTGACGTCACATTGAATAAGTATAGGATAAACCCTGAAGCTGAGTGTTTATTGGGAATATATTTCAGAATAAACACCGAGCCGTAGGCGAGGTGTTTATGAAAGAAATATATTACCAATAAACACGAAGCTGAAGGGTTTATCCTAATTATACCGACCTATATATACACCACACACTCACCACACTTCCTGGGAGAGATTGTGGAAGGCATAATACAACAATTTCCTTCGCTGACAAAATACTTCAAAATCCACTGGCATCACCACACGTTCCGTACCTACAGGCTACACGTACCGACACGTACACGTACACGCTGATTTTTGATGTTTTTTACAAGAAAATTTCGAAAAAGCTGCTCTGATGCCGGTGTTCAACTGCGCATGCTCCCCATGACCACGTTCATTTCTGAGATGGAGCCACGTGCGAAGAGGTTTGCTTCCTCCACTGAGGAAGAAAGAACTAAATTTGTTGAAGATGCCGTACCCGTTTCAACGAAGAAGGCCACCAGCACGTGGATCAGGGCTCTGGAAGATTATGCCGAGGAAAAATCCCGAATGTGACAGGGAAGCAGCTTCTCCTCAATTGGGTGTATCGAGGACCAGCGTCAAATCCGTGTCATCAAGAAGTACCTCTCCCATCTCCATCCCGAATGTGACAGGCTATTTCAACGGGCTCGCACCACCAAAGGTATGGCAGATTCTTGTTGGTACATGAATGCTCCCATTTCTCATAATCTTTTGTCTGCCATGATGAGAAGACTCTCAGAAGCTAGCAATTTGTCACAGTCGTACTCGAATCACTGTCTTAGAGCGACTTCCATCACTTTGATGAAATTTGCAGGAATAGAGGATGATAAATATGGTGGTAAAGACACACCTGGCAATATGGCGGTAACCACACGCCTGCCCACACACGCTCTCTAGGCTGCAAAGTTCTGGCACAGAGCTCTCCTTCTCACCACCACCACCATCAGTTCGCGCCTGGCGCCTGGTCGATGCATGGCTGGCGGTATCCGGCATAGCAGGCTGGTACATCAAGTAGCGCATGGCACATAGATGATGACACAGCAACGACATAGCTCGACTGCGACGTACGTTTCGTCCCCGCTGGACTCATCAGGCAATCTTCTTCTGCTGCAGTGGTGTCTTCAACTTCATTCTCCCGAATAGAGGATAGGAAGATTATGGCTGTCAGCGGACATAAGAATGTTCAATCTTTACAAGCTTATGATAGGCCTACTCTCGCTGATGCCAGTGCTGCAGATTCCGCCATTGATTGTAAGCCTGCCACTACCAAATCAGCTCCTGGCAAAGAAAATACTGTACTTTGTGCTTGGTAAGAAACTAGTGCTGCTGCTGAGTCTGTTGTGCCACCTGTGTCCCCTGGTGAAATTTGTGTTTATGGCTCATCGAATGTAACCATCAGCTTATCACCCTATCCTCCTGCACGTGCTGCTCCTCCCAGAAACCCTCGCTTACCTTTGAAACTGAAGAAGAAGGTCATGCCAGAGAATGATCAGTCTTGATTGCCTGCATTTTTGTTTTCTTTGATGCTGGTCTCTTTGTCTAAATTTTGCTTATGGATTTGTTCGGTTTTGCTGCTGTTTTGAGCTCCTGAGTCTAATTTTCCCTGTCTCATTTTGCTGGTTTTTGCTGTGGCTATTTCCATTCCTAAAAAAGCAGTATAACAAGTATTTTATTGGTTCACTGGTATAATATCAGGTATATTATTGGTTCACTGGTATAATATGAAGTGGAATATTCAATCACTGGTACAATATGTACCAGTACATACCTGGTGCCCTGTAGGGTGGTGAGTGGGGGTGTATACTAGGTCGGTATAACATTTAATATACTAGCAGTACCCAAATTTAAGTTGGTGGCCAGTAGGTCATTACTCGCAAGAATAGTCCTTCCTTTATTTATTAACAATAATCAACATCCGCGTTTCTCTATTTTTTGCTTTCATTAACTTCTTTGCCGATCGACACAACATAATATGAAGGTGGCAATGCAACCAAATTGCAATTCCCTTTTCAACTACGAAACATTCTGTGCACAGAACCATACACTGCATTGTGCAGGGTCAGCGCTGCCATATTCGGAAACATAGAGTTCTCCTTCACAAAACAATAGGACAGTAAAACCTGATTTAAGCGGCCACTTTAGGGTGCAAGAAAAAGCGGTCGTTAAACCCAGGTGGTCTTTAGAACCAGGTCCAACAGTTTCGGTATAGAACTGTCCGTGCATGGAAAAATGGTCGTCAAGAACAGGTGGTCGCTAAACCAGAGGTGGTCGCTAAACCAGAGGTGGTTGCTTACAACAGGTTTTACTGTATTGCTAGGCGGTATCTGAATGACTTACAGTCATAACTCTCGGCGGAGCATGTTTCAGAGCACTTGCTGCATGTAGGCAGGGATGTGGAGGCACGGCTCCGGTTTTCGAAACCAACGTCTTGCGTCTTCAGGTCAATGTAAAGGCGTGCCATGGGCTTGGAGTCATCGGCATTGTCGTTGAAGACGTTAGTGCCACGAGTGGAGCGGATACGACGGGTGATCTTGTATGGTGTGAGTGTGTCATCGGGAGACGTGTAGTTACGACCACCATCTGCACCAGAGTCCCATGCGGTGATGTCATAGACTGCGGATTGGACCCACGCGTTGCCAATACAAAGGGGCACGGCATCCACACCAACGAACCAGCTTGGAGAAGGAGCGATCATGCTCAGGGCCGTCAGTTCTGAGTTGTACCTGATAGGGAAGACACGACAGAGGATGGACGGGTGAATACACAGAAGCTGAGTGCCAGGTGA